AGAGTTGGAGCGTCCTTAACTTTCCTCTTTCATTAGTTCTGCTGGTTTGGGGCTTTTGAGGTCTCGAGGAAGCCTCACGTGGCCTTGGGACAACCTTCGCCCTAGGGTGCCCCAGTCTGGGAAAGGCGGGTCCTTTCAGACCCTCTAGCGCCCAGTGGGCCGGGCTGGGAAAGTTCCCCAGCTGCACTTCTGGGATCTGGCAACGTTACGCACCACTTTCTCTGCACTCGTCCGCAGTTTTGCAGCCCCAGGTTGGTTACAAACCAGTTCAGGCCAACTCCGCTAGCCTCCGTCTCCAGGGCCGGCCGCTCCTCTGCAGCAGCGGGAAGAGGCACCCGGAGCAATGGGGAAATGCATGCCCCTGCCTACGCGCAGCTCGGATTCTTGGCCATTCCGGACTGGTCTTCACAGGTTCTGGATCCCTCCGGGATTAGCGCCCCTCCAGCCCAGGCTGTTTAACCCAAACCCATCTGCTGCAGCTCGAGACTTTTAATCGTTTGCTTTTCTCTTCATTGGCTGGAGTCACCACTGGAGAGTGATCCGGACAGGGCGGTGAAGTCCCCATTTCGGTGCAGAGTCCTTTGCAAGTGACATTGTGAAGTAGGCAAACACTATGCCTTTGAGTGACATTGTGAAGTTGGCGGAGGGTGCCCTAGGTGACATTGTGAAGTAGGCAAAAGGTATTTTATTCACTCAATAAGCATTTATTGAGCCCACCTTGTGGGTCAGGTACCAGTGGTTTTATAACAAGATCATGCCCTACCACAGCCAAGAAGGGACAGAGCCATACAAATACACAGGTACTCCGAGGTTGCCATTAGTGCAGTGGTTCCCAACGTGGGGCACACGCCCCACAGGGGGGCAATTTGATTTTTTAAGGGGGGCAATTTGCGAATGAGTTATTATAAGTGATTTTTTTTCACTTCTTATGGTTCTAGGGGCTTCATATACAGTATATAAATATATATTATGACAGTTTATGCATTTCAGTTCTCTTATGTTTTGAAATGGCTATTTTTCATATCACTTCATATTATTATTTTTAAAACAATTTCTTAGTGATTTCTTCCCCCTTTACTTCAACTGTCCTTACATTCTTTTATGTTTCTCTTTCATGGATGTCATGTTCTCTGGAAACTTGTTTAGACCAAGTTAATGGCCTTTTAGGCTTCCTCCACGTGAATAGGAGTTCACTTTTTGAATAATAAGAATTATATGTCACGGGGACGGGGCGGGGGCACATCAGGATTTTAAAGATTTTAGGTGGGGCACGGCCAACAAAAGGTTAGAATAGAGCTGTGCTGAAGGTACAGTGAGGGGACCCAGGGCAGGACAAGCCACCACAAAGGTGGGGCCTAGGCACCCACTCTTCTCTCTTGGTCTTTCTCCCAAGCTTAACTGAAATGTTAAGGGGAGATGTGAAGGAAAGACAACCTATTTCCTGTAGCGGGGAAATATGTTGGAAGGAGACTTGATTTGGGGTGGTGAACACACAGTACAATATACAGACAGTGTATTATAGAATTGTACACCTGAAAGCTATATAATTTTATTAACCTATGTCACCCCAATAGACTCAATTTAAAAAATTGTTAGAAAGGATACAAAACAATTACTCCAAACCTCAGTGCAAATTGTTAAACACAAGTCCTGAGTCATAATTTTGTTCAGTAACCTATCACGGTACTGGGATAATAATATCATTTAGCAGTGGTCCTCAACCTTCTGGCCCTTTAAATACAGTTCCTCATGTTGTGACCCAACCATAAAGTTATTTTCGTTGCTACTTCATAACTGTAATGTTGCTACTGTTATGAATCGTAATGTAAATACCTGATATGCAGGATGGTCTGAGGCGACCCCTGTGAAAGGGTCATTCGACCGCCAAAGGGGTCGCGACCCACAGGTTGAGAACCGCTGATTTAATGACTGAAGGAATTGAAGACATTGTAAAAATTGCACATTTTCCTTCAAGTTAGAAAATAAAAGTGAAGGAAAATAATGAACATTTGGTTGTGCCATGTTGAGAAGAGAACTGCATTAGTGCATTCAAGGAAGTTGTTCTACCCAAATACTGTAGTCCTGCTATCCTTTACTCCCTTCTCCACCTTACCCTTCCAATCTCTGGAGCCTGGTGTTCAGACGCCGTCATGTATATGAGAAGGCCTGATGTGAACTATGAGACACTTATTCATCATCTATTACTTGGTGATCAAATATTTGTTGACTTCCATGGTCCAGGCATAGAATGGTAAATGACAGAGTTGCTGCCCTCACGGAGCTTGCATTCTAGTGGGGGAAACAAATTATACGTAGAAACAAATTAGTTGGACCAGGGTTTCTCAACCTCAGCACTATGACATTTTGGCTGATATAATTCTTTGTTGTGGGAGATTCTCCTATGCATCACCTGGTCTTTGTCCTCTGGATGCCAGTATGACCCCCACCCCCAAGTTGTGACTATCAAAAATGTCTTCAGATATTACCAAGTTCCCCTAAAAGACAAAATTACCCTCAGTTGAAAATGACTGAATTAGATGAAGATGAACCTTGCCTCCTTTAACCCTTTGAGTGCCAACCAATATCCTAGGAACTATGCTAAAATTGCCAAGGCATTTTTGCTGATTTTACAGCAGTTAAGGAAAAAAAAATATGAAAATTAGGCAGATAAATGCCAGTGGTCAATTTTAGAACCACAAACATTCGGCATCGTAAGTAATCTGCACTTAGGTGCCATCTGTCAATAAAGAGTGAACTACTAGCATCTAATAGTGACACTGCAGAAGGAGTGCGATAGCGCTCCCGGCACTCTAGAGGTTAAATTGTGCAGGGTTTGTATATCTGGGAAGGAAATGAACAGCAAAACTTATACCAAAGCTGAGAGGAGGATCCACGAAGGTGTTGACTGTGAAATGTTTTTATTACTTCCATAGTAGACACCTGTGGTTTGGGGCTGCTTACCATCCATTGCCCTACACCGGGTACCAATTTTTCATGAATGTGGACTCCACTGGTTTAGAAGTTTCAGCGAACAAGGGAGGAAATATGTTTCCACCAAGAGACACAATAATAATTGCATGGAATTGGAATTTAAAATTGCTGCCTGGTCTCTATTGGGTTGTTGTTGTTTTTTTGTGGGGGAGGGGGGAAGGGGATGGGCAAAAATAGGATTATAGTGTTAGAGTGATTGAGCCTGACTATTGAATGGAATCAACATTGTTCCACAGAAGGAGAAGGAAGCAATAAAAGGAGCTCAGGGGAGTTCTTTATATCACCATGTCCTATTGAAATGGATTCCAAAGTGCCGTCACCTCATCTAGGCAGCACCACCAGGGACTTAGGGTCTACACCCAATGGACAAAGAACCCAAATAAGCTGAAATGCTGATGCAAAGCAAGGGGGGCATGGAAAGAAGGTGGAGAACCATGAATATCTTCAGCTGCGTGACCAGTTGTAGAAACAGAAACAGCGGCCTCTGTACTTCTTTCCTTGCTGTAACATATACAGTATATGGTGGGTTTGAAATTTTACATTTCCAGAATGCAATGTATATACTGTAAATTTGTTTCTTTTCCAAAAGGTATAATTAATTTAGCACCCAAACACTTATCCACTGATGGTAGACATTTAATAATGCCAAATTTAAGGTGTTTGGGCTAAATCCTTAGCATCCTTTGCCTCCTCCTTCTCCTTCTCCCTTTTCCTTGAGGTTGATTTTAGTTTCAGGGGCTTATGCATGACCTGATATTGGATAAAGGGCATCTACTCTGTGAGTCATTCTCTTTGCTTAGTGGCCTCCGGTGAAATGTAGCCTCTCTCTTCTTGTCCTCATTGCGGTGTGCAGGAATCCACTGTTAACATTTCCCGCCCTTGGCCTCAGGTCTAGGTTCCTACACACTTTGTGTATTAGGGTAATGTTAGTGTTAACAAAAACTCCAAAAGAAATTAAAAGAGTTTTATTCATATATGATTTGCAAATCAGAGAACGAAGCCCTCAGTATGAATCAAAGACACCCTCTGAGATGGAAGGTGGGGAGTGAGGAATGAGGAGGGGAGAGAAGAACATAGTTTTTATTTTATGTATTTATTATTTTTTTATTGTTGACACTATTAGAGATGTCCCCCGTTTCCCACCTCCCTTTGCCCACCTCCAACCAGCTCCCGGCTCCCCCTCCATTGGCCTTCACCACACGGCTATCTGTATCCATGGGCTACACATGTATGTAATCCCTTCACCTTCTTTTATTCAGTCTTCCCCAAACCCTCCTCCCTTTGTAAAAAAATATATATTTTATTGATTTTTTACAGAGAGGAAGGGAGAGGGATAGAAAGTTAGAAACATCGATGATAGAGGAACATCGATCAGCTGCCTCCTGCACACCCCCTACTGGGGATGTGCCCGCAACCAAAGTACATGCCCTTGACTGGAATCGAACCTGGGACCCTTCGGTCTGCAGGCTGACACTATCCACTGAGCTAAACCGGTTAGGGCACCCTCCTTCCTTTTGACATTTGTCAGTCTGTTCCATGTATCCATGCTTCTGGTTCTATTTTGTCCTTTTATATTATTCATTATGTCCCACATTTAGTGAAGTCATAGATGTTTGTCTTTCTCTGACTGGCTTATTTTGCTTGCCATAATAATCCCTGGTCCATCCATGCTGGGTAAGAGTTCCTTCTTTTTTACAGCTGCATAATATTCCACAGTGTAAATGTGCCACATCTTTTTTTATCCACTCATCTATTTATGGGCACTTGGGCTGTCTCCAGATCTTGGCTATTGTAAATAACTGCTATGAGCATAGGAGTACATATATTCTTCCTGATTGGTGTTTCTGGATTATTAGGATATATTCCCAGAGGTGGGATTGTTGGGTCAAAAGGCAATTCCACTTTTAATTCTTAGTGAAACTCCATACTGTTTTCCACAGAACAAAGGCCTTGGATCCAGCAGTTCCAGTACAAGGAGTGTTGCTTATCAGTTGCACAGGAAGTATGATTTACTAAACAGCCCAATCAGCCCAGGGGGCTGCTTGCCCTGCAGGTGGTTTCAGGGCCCCAAAGGGCAAGGTCATGCCTTGTTAGCAGTTTCAGAGCTCAAGCTGCAAAAATCCATATGTTGGGCCACAAGTTATGGTATTAAAAGTTCTTCTAAGTCATCACTAGCTCCTAGGTTAATGCAACAGAAGTTAATTTCTGGCTGATATTCAAACTCAATGTGGGAGTTCTTAACTGGTAGGTGGCTTTCCTGCATGTAGGAATCTTGGAACCCAGCCTCCTTTTATCTTGTAGTCCCATTGTTTCCTAAAGCAGAGGTTCCCAATCTTTCTTGGTTCAGAGTGCCCTTAGAATCTCAATATAGTATTCCTGGGGCTGCAGGCAAAAAGAAATATCTAACCCTTCCTTTAAATAGTTAGGGACAATTTAATAATAGTAGTAATTTGCTCAGTGTCCTGGGTAGTACTATGTTTTCCTCAAAAATTTATAATACCCCCTATCTGTGGTTTCGATTTCCATGGTTTCAGTTACTTACAGCCAACCACGGTTTTAAAAAAAATTAAATGGAAAATTCCAGAAATGAACAATTCATAAGTTTTAAGTTGTGTGCTGTTCTGAGTGGCGTGATGAAATCTCCTGCCATCCTGCTCCATCCTGCCCACGATGTGAATCACCCCGCGTCCAGCATCTGCACGCCGCCGTATACACTTCCTGCCTGTGAGTCACTCAGTAGCCTTCTCAGGTGTCAAATCGACTGTTGCAGCACCGCAGTGCCTGTGTTCATGTCACCCTTATGTTACTTAATAATGGCCGCAAAGTGCAAGAGCAGTGGTGCTGCAATTCGAATTTGCCAAAGAAAAGCTGTAAAGTGCTTCCTTTAAGTGAAAAGGTGAACGTTCTCAACTTAATAAGGAAAAAAAAAAATCACATGCTGAGATCTATGGGAAGTGCCAATCTTGTATCTGTCTAATTGTGAAGAAGGAGAAAGAAATTCTTGCTAATTTTGCTGTCACACCTCAAACTCAGAAGTTATAGCCACAGTGTATGATAAGTGCTTAGTTAGGAAGGAACGGGCATTACATTTGTGGAAGGTGTGAACAGAAAACTTGTTCTTATTGACAGCAACGTATTAGACCAGAAAACGTTGAGCCCATACGAAGACTTCAGCAAGGGTTCCCCTGAAGCAAGTGACCACATTCACCTTTTATTACAGTATATTGTTGCGAGTGTTCTATTTTATTAGTAGTTATTGTTAGTCTCGTACACATATAGGAAAAATGTATAGAGAGTTTGGTACTATGCAATTTCAGGCATCCACTGGGAGGGTCTCAGAAAGTATCTCAAATACCACTTTTGGTTCATTATAGTGTTTTCTACTGATATTACACTTTCCTGCCAATATTTAATATATCCTATGTATCCCCAGTGAATTCACTGTGGTTGTCAAACTATATGCAGGAACCATGATCCTAGGGCTTGGAGTCTTTTTAAAAATATCTGTTGTGTTATTTTCATTCAATCTATTTCTTTCAAGCATGCTATCTTTTTATTTTATTTTTAAAAATATGTTTTTTTTTATTTTTAGAGAGAGAGGAAGAGATAGATAGAAACATCAATGAGATAGAAACATTGATTGGCTGCCTCCCAAATGCCCCCCACTCAGGATTGAGCCCGGAACTGGGGCATGTGTCCTGACCAGGAATCAGACTAGTGACCTCTTCGTGCATGGGTCAATGCTCAAACCCTGAACCACACTGGCCTGGCTTGGAGTCATTTATTTATTTATTTATTTATTTATTTATTTATGCAAGCAATCAAGCATTTAATCTGAGGCATCTCTATGGAAACAAAAGAAAAACAAAGGTTAATGATTGAAGCAGACTACCAGTATAACCTCGGTTTCTGAGTTTGGAAGGCAGGCGGTCAAGATTTCTATATGTCTGTCTTGAACATCTTCAGATGGAGTGAAGGCGGCAGCTGCAGTCTGATAGATTTCTCCTGGTCTACAGTTTGAAAGTCGATGGTTTTGGAGTCTTTTCTTCTAGCCGGAAGAAGTATGGGGACAGCACTCCTACTTCTTGATAATTTCTGTTCATAATCTACTGGCAATAACCACACATCTTGCCATACCTACTGGTATATGCTCAAGAGGCTGGGAAATGCACCCTTCAGCCAGGATGTCACCTCTTGGTATGGAAACAAGAACACACATTTTGGTAGGCACCCAGCTATTTCTGATACTCTTGGCCACCTCTTCATGCAGACCTGGATTCTATTGGGTCCTTTGGCTCATTCTCAGGTCCTTCTGAGCCCTCAGGTATGGCAGTGGGGACTTAGTGTGTGCCAAACAGTGATACTACCTTCGGGTTCATCTCCCCAAACATCTCCCTTAGTTGTTGCTACTCTACAACTCAAGTGCATGTGGGTCACAGAACTCTTTCTCAATGTTTGCAAGCTTGTGGCTACATTCTCGAAAGTTTAAACACAATCTCCTCAGCTCTGGTATTTCTAGACCTACCTTGAATTTCAATGACCAAATATGTCCCCAACCCACCCCACCCCACCCATCAAGCAGGCAACTCATGTCCTGGAGGAAGGGTGGTGCTGGCCCTTTCATCAACCCACTATGTATCTTCTTTCTTTTATTTTAAAAATTTCTTTCATTCTTAACCAACAGAGCTACCAGGCCAGGGCTGTATTTTCTTAGCAATGCTACAAACTTTTTACTTATTTGGCTAGAAACTAATCCAACACATATTCCAATTTAATGTTGTTGAATATACTTTATGTCCTTTTATTTCAATCTGTGTCTTTCAATGTTCCAAGCCAAGCTTTGAATATCAAAATATTTTTCTCTCTTAGATTTTACATTTTAATGGCCTTCAACACACACTATGGCTTCTTGCCACTTAAGACCTCAGAAAGCTTCACATTTTATTCGTTCATCTTTCAATATTTTTGTTTTTTCTTCCCTTGAGCAATAAGCCGTAGACTCTTAGAATAAATTTAATGGTGGAAGATTTACTAAGTTAAACAAGAACTTCTCAGAAGAAAAATGTGTAGGGTAGTATTTTAGACTACTGTTCAAGTGTTCTTCTGTATATTTACTTCTGTAATTAATTTTCCTTTTATGGACTATGTTTTTGTCCTACATTATTGTGTGTAGGTTGTTTTGATAGTTAAACTTAGCACTTGGTCCTTAAGTTTTAGAATACTGCATTTAGATTGCTGCAGAACCAAAGAAAGAATGGACATTTTTCAGAAATCCTGGGTTTGGGCTTGATGCCTGTGGAGCTTGCTTTGAGCAATTATAAAACAATTCTGTACTGACTTCCTAACCTCTCTGCTTTTTATTTGCCTAAATCTTATATAAGCTGCCATCCACTATAATTTCCACACTGCTGGTGTCTTGTAAATTGAATACACAAAAGAGGGCCTGTCATTGGTTAGTGACTGTAAGGCCACTAGCATGTCCTGGCTTGAGGACCATGGTATAAGGGTGAGATGTGAACCAGGAATGGGTTGACTGTAGCAGGAAAGGTGCTGGTTAAGAGAGGTTTCTGTACAAGTTGAATACTGCTTAGATGGTTTAGTATAATTTTACTAGAGGCCCAGTGCATGGATTCATGCACTGGTGGGGGGCGTGGCCTGCGGGATTGGCCCGCTGTGGGAGGGCCACTCATCCCGGTCAGCGAGCGGCGCTCCCACTGTGGGAGTCCACTGACCACCAGGGGCGTCTGGTTGAGCGTCTGCCCCCTGGTGGTCAGTGTGCATCATAGCGACTGGTCGACCTGTTGTTCTGGTCATTCTGCTGTTCGGTCATTGGGCTTTTATATATATAGATTCTTTCTACATGACAAACATGAACTTTTTACCCTGCTGATAGGCATCTTCATCCCCATCATTTACCTCCCAAGAGGCTGAAAAACAGCGCTGGAATAGTTTTAGGGTCACAAGCATTTTCTGCATTATTTAAGGGATGTAATTTTTTTGCCTGACAGTTCTTTTTTCATAACTTCTCTACCTCTTTTCTACCTCTTTCCTAATCTGAGTGGCTACATCCTGGACTAGCTGCCACCAACTTCCTCTATTTACCTTTCTTCTCTCCCACTCTTAATATCTCTTTTAAAAAATTGTTTTATTTTTTAAATATATTTTATTGATTTTAGAGAGGAAAGGAGAGGGAGAGAGAGATAGAAACATCAATGATGAGAGAGAATCATTGATTGGCTGCCTCCTGCATGCCCCCTACTGGGGACCGAGCCTGCAACCCAGGCATGTGCCCTTGGCTGGAATTGAACCTGGCACCCTTCAGTCTGCAGGCCAACGCTCTATCCATTGAGCCAAACCAGCTAAGGCTCCCACTCTTAATATCTTACTATCTGCTTTCATTCTATGGACAGTAGTACAAATGCCAAATAAAAACAATAAGCAAAACACAATTCTTTCTTATTGGTATTCAACCTTGACTGTACTAGTATATGCACAATATTCCTGTATTCAATGTCCCCAATCTTTCTTAGGTTACAGGAAAGGACTAAAGCCTGAATGGTACCTGACAATCTATATATGTAAAAGGCTAAGTAACTGATCATACGTACATCCAACCGTCCGACTGACCGACCAGCTGGTACGTATGATGTGCACCAGCAATTTAAAAATAAACGTTGACTCGTACATGTTGCAGTAATGTAATTACCGCACGAATTAATTCTCTCTCTCTCTCTTCTCTCTCTCTCTCTTTCTCTCTGTCTCCCCTCCCTTCCTCTCTAAGCTTGTCCTTGGGGGAGGACTTTATTTTTTAAGTTCTTGATAAATATTCAATGAATCTGCCTGCTACTGATATTTTAAAATGAAGACAACAAGAAGACAGATCTTAGGCAGTTAATTCTTGGAAAGTGGCTAGAAATTAACATTTAAAGGTAACCCAGGGTCAAAACTCTAGAAAAGGTGACTAGGAAAAGATCCTATTTCAGTTTAGTTGGTAAACTAGATGAGCATCTCCTGGATACAGAGAGCTGAGTTAAAACTGTGCGTATCAATCTTCCAAACAACTGTAGTCTGAGAAGAGTGTTTGGAGGGAGTGGTGCCAGGGAAAATTTGAATACTCTGTTGAGAACCACATGCTGCTAGCTCTTTCAATTTAAAGATGAGTGATCAGAAATAAGAACCAGCACAACATGGAATATTTTAAAAATATTGCAAAATGAGGGGAAGGGGACGTCATCTTGAAATCTCAGATTTCTAAAAGCTACCAATTTTCGGAACAAAAAAAATTTAGAACGTGTTTTAGCATCTTCTATAAGATATGAGAAATATATAGCCTCTATTTACTAAGAGAAGAAAGTTTATAAAGTAAAACAGGTTGAAAAGAAAGTTCATGAGATGAAAAGGGAGATGTATAGAATATGAAACAGTTGGTTGATAGAAAACTAAAATTTAATAGTAGAATTTACATTTGCTACTGGAGGGTGATAGTAAAGAGCAAAATATAACACTGTTGAAAATTGAGCCAGTAATTTGAAGGACAGATTGATGAGGCCTCCAAAAACTAGAGGGAGAAGAAAAATACAAAAAGGAAGATGAGAGACACAAATGACTTTAGAAATCATCCTAAGAATGGTATGTGTTCCTGAAGATGAAATTGAACTAATTGGAATCAAAATACTGGTCAAAATACTATGAAGAAAACTTTCCTGAGCTAAATAAACAAGTCTGACTGTTTCTCCTAAAATGATGTAATGGAAGGTGCATATCACCTATGTGGTCGTTTTGGCAAAAATATTTAACCCTGAATCAAATAATGAAGATAAAATCTGGCTTCAGCCAGGTTCATGGGCATGTGGCAAGTGCCATCAAATACAGCCCACCCTTAGGAGGGACCCATGCTTGGTTTAATAGTTTGTTTTCACTGTCTTGAAATTCTTACTAATTTCTGAACAGAGCACCATGCATTTTCATTTTGTACTGGGCCTCACAAACTATTTAGCCACTTCTAAATCTGGTAAATCCAGACTCTTAGCTACAAGATAACTAGCTTATATTATTTTTTAAGATGCCAGTTGCTTAATAGACAAGGCATTCCTCCGACCTCCCACCCCCTAGGAAAAATACATAAAGGAAATACTCGTCTGGGTTAAAGGCAGTAAAGAGACGTGACAAACAATGTGTGATTTTTAACTGGATTGTGAATGGGGCGTGTGTGTGTGTGTGTGTGTGTGTGTCTATAAAAGATCTTTTTGGGGAGAACATTTGGAGAAATTTATTTATTTATTCATTTTAAAAATATATTTTTATTGATTTCTGAGAGGAAGGAAGAGGAAAAGATAGATAGAGGCATCAATGATGAGAAAGAATCATTGATTGACTGTCTCCTGCATGCCCCCTACTGGGGCGTGTACCCTGATGGGGAATTGAACTGTGACCTCCTAGTTCATAGGTCAACACTCAATCACTGAGCCATACTGGCTGGGCCATTTGGAAAGACTTAAATAAATAAGAACCATATATTAGATGGTATTGAATATTTCTGGAATTGTTGGGTGTGAAAACAGTATTGTGGATATGCAGAAGGATGTTCTAGTTTCTAGGGGACATACGTAAGTGTGGTAAAATGTCATGGTGTCTGCAACTGACTTTCAAATGGTTTGGTAAAATAATAAATATACCCATGGAAAGAAGTAAAATAAATGTGCCCCCTCCCGCAAGAATCCTTTCAGCAAACATTTTTTTTTAAGGTATAGCTTTTAATGGCTATTTTTTTCATTGGCTTCTGAGCTGGCTTTTACATCTCCCAAGCCTCCCTTTCTGTGCTTCCTCCAATACCTAAGCTCTGGGAGCCTCCTACCTCTCCTCTCTCAGCAGCCAGCACATTCCTTCTCTTAAGCACAATGTATCTCAAGTTTAGATCCATCACATCAGTCCAGGGGCCCTGGAGCTAAACCTTTCTTCACCTTTCAGGCTTATCAAAGTCTTCTCTCAACAAAGGTGAGTCTCTCAGTAGGAGTAATTGCATACTAGTTAGTAAGAAAATAGTAGATACTGAACTGGTACAAAAGTGAACCAACAAAAACAAATGAACAAACAAAACCCATCAAAAACCAATGGATGCAAGACACTGGGGGGTAGGGGAGGCCAAGGGAAGGTCAATGGGGGAAAAATGAGACATATGTACTACTATTTGTAATACTTTAAACAATAAAATAAAATAAAATAAAATAAAATAA